AAACTTTCCAAGGTCAATCAAAACAGTATCCATTAATAAACCAAACCTTCCAGTGCTTAAATCTCGTGTATTTCTCTGTGATCCTGCCCGGGTTATGATCATCCCCACATAGCCTACATTTCATACATTTATGAGAGATAGATTATACAGTCAAACCAAAATGTATTCAGACTCCTTCAACAATTTTCACATTATCACAGTTTATTCGCTATAGTTTAGAAAGTGGTAATAAATATTTGACTGGTTTTGTCCGTCCTTCTGTTAGACTCTCACACATGAATTATGTTAAATATCTGTCAGCTGTTAAATTTAACTACACAATTAGATAATACCAGTTTAGCTCAACCAGTGACCAAGCAATGCTTCATGTTGTTCAGTCTGTGTGTAAAAAGAGCATTAGCAATTACAGAAAACACACTTCAGCAAAACATGATCAGCTCAAAGTGGAGGAATCATTTCTGGTCCCACATCTTTATAAATGTCACTGGTAGTCACTGTATGAAGAATATTTGTGTATAATATGTCAGAGTTTACTTTATTTTATTGACTCCTCACAGAAATGAACTATAGTGTCCTGATCACACTAGTGAAACAATATCGAAAATTGTGTCTGAATCATTTTTGTTTCGGCTGTAAATACGAGGGACGCATCAATGATTGGCAAGACTCCATGCATTTTTATGCAAATCTCTACTGTGTGTTTGTGCCGTTAGGAGTGTGTTCATCGGAAAGACGTCGAAGACGAGGCCGTCAGCAGTTTTGCAGGTAAAGCGTTGAGCTTCAAAGCGTTCGACAGGAAAAGAGCCGTTCTGCAAACACAAGGTTTCCTGCAGATCTCTCTGAGGTGAACACACATCACACTTATTCACTCATACACACACATATACGTCTATGAGAACTGGAACACACACACACAGATAACAGACCAGCCAACATGGCATCAGTAGCGATGATCTCACCACAACTACAGTGTGAAGGATTCTACTGTTACAATCTTGGTTAGACCATTAGATTTTATCATCACTGACTTCTATAAAATATCCTTCCTATTTGTACGTGTGTAATATAGAAATAATTGCTTTTGCTCGAGGGAATGAGGCATAAGCTGGTGTAGAAACACTGGCGCTCAAACGTTTGTGGCAAGACTTTTTTGTTGAAAGAAATGTATATTTTATGCAGCAAAGACACATTCCTTTGATCAAATGTAAATGCAAAATCATGCTAGATATGTGCTAGTTTTTACTGTATTTTTATATATATATATATATATATATATATATAGATACATATATATATAGATACACACACACACACACGTCATAGAAGACATGTACTTGTCATTATGTGTATGAACATTTATATAATATTTTTTTTACATTTCATTACATACTAATTTATATAAATTAATAGTTAACCACAATTATAGCATATTATAATAACATATTATATAGCATATTATAATACCATTTATTGTTATGACTTGAGAGAGCATAATGCATTAAAACGCATGACAAACAGTTTCATATGATATTATTCAATGATATTCCATAGTTTCAGATGGAAGGTGTATGAAAATATTAGATTGCATTTTACATTTGGTTACAATTATTTATGAAAAATATAATGCATTATATACAAAGGCTTTAAGTGAAGTGTTACCAAAAAGGTTTACACCAGTGACCCAAAATCCATAATGAGCATTTATGCATATTCTCGCATGCATGCCTATGAGAAATGTAACTAACAAAAAGATTTGCAATAGATGAAGGAAAGAGCAGTGCTTGTGGAGTGAGTTTCAGTGAGTCGAGGTTTCAGGCTTTATTTGTGCATATATTAAATGCTGGATTAGTTCATATCTTGTACCCAGTCTGTTACATTCAACTATGAACACATGATTACAATACCATACAAAACTCTTTTCTTTTTTTTACAGAAAAGTTTTTAAAAAATTCTAAAAAAACTTTTCGATTTCCAAGTTGGTAACTGCACACACTCACTGAATTATGAGGTCAGTCTAGCAAACTACTGTTTGCACAATGCATACCGTTTCACATGCTATTTCTAAAACGAGTTAAATAGTGAAACATTTGCAGAGCGTTCACAGTTCAGTATGAGTCAGTGTGAAAGTGTTGAGGAAACATCTCACACTGTAAGAAAAAGTTTGTCATTTCAACTTAAATTGCATTAAACTAACTTAAAAAATGAGTTGAATCTTGTATAACTTATAAAAAGCTATGTAAAAACATGTTTTCATCATGTTTTTTTTTTTTACAGTGCAGGGTTAGCGGTTCAGAACAAACCCTCACCAAATGCTTGAAGTAGGCTATATAAACACACGAGCGATGAGAGACACGTGACGGAGATTGAGTTTCTGAGGATGCCTGAGGGTTTCTGAGAAGAATAGAAGGGAAGGACGATCTGAATAACCTGTTGTACAGGTGTGTGTGTGTGTGTGTGTGTGTGTGTGTCAGAAACGAGTTCTGCTTCGTCTCCTATGTCTCTGTCACTACTGTTACTCACTGTTCTGACGGGAAGACGCTGTTTTCCACTATTTTGAGCTGTGTTTGCGAGCATTGTTATCACTGTTGCTCAAATAAGTGTTTGAACAAAGAAACCCCTTATCCGGAAGTATTCGCGTGTGACTCGTAGTGATTATGACGTCAAATCTTGTGGCTTGTTGAGGAGAAGCGTGTTAAAGCTCCATTTTAATTTTGTCCTTAACTTGCTACTATTTCTTGCCAAATTTTATATTCACAAGTGTACATTTTCAAAGAAAACTCCTTTTTTCATTTTTAAGAAAGATTTTGATATGTATCTAAGTGCTTTGAAGAACTCCACTGCATGTAAGACTCTGAAATGGTGTCAATCTTTTAAGCTAGTTTAATGTTATTTATGTTTATGTAATGTAACCCTTTGTATTGTGTATTGTTTATTTTTGTCCTAATTTTTTTTTTTTTTATGTTATTACTGCATAAAAAAAGCGTATTAAAGCGCAAGGTCTTGAGGCTGTGTGTGTGTGTGTGTGTGCGCTACAGTAAATTTAGCAAAGATTCTGTGCGGCAAAAACATCCACCTATTTTAATGCGCTTTTTAGTTTTCTCATGCATAAAAAATGCTGAATGGAAACGCATTCATTCTAAAAATGTGCATAAAAACCTATGCGCTCAATTGAGGCAGACATTTTTTATCAGAAAAAACGAACACTTAAATTTACATTTAGCGTGATAAAAACTTCATAAAATGACAGACAACATCTTCGGAAAAAATGTATTTGAACTGTTATTTGATTGTTTGGTTTCCCCTGCGTCCCATTAGATTACATTGAGAGGACGGGGTTTATGAGCTGTACTGGGACCAGCCACCGGGGGGCGATATAGATGCTTTGGCTTCAGTTTTCAGGGCTTGAGCGGCACGCTTCTCTCCCCACTGCTCCTCCCTCTACACCAGGGGTCTTCAACTCGGTCCCGGAGGGCCACTGTCCATCCAGGGGTGCGTTTCCCAAAGGCATCGTTAGCCAACTATGGTTGCAAGTTCTGTTGTTATCAGCAATTCAACGAGTCGGTGTTTCCCGAAACCATCGTTCAAAAAAACATTTGCAAACAAAAGTTGTGTGTGTGAGCGACAGATCTCGAGCTGCGGTTAGAAGCAGAGTTTCTAGATTGCTTGACGTGGACTTAATAAATCCTCATCTTGAGCAAAATAAGCAAGCTGACATTCAGTGCAATCTGTATCTTTTATTTGGAATACATACAAATGTAATTTACATCTTTTAGTTTTTCAAGAGATTTAAAGCGTGGTGTTTGAAGACTGCGCATGTGTGAACGAGCTCTAGTGCGTGAGAACGAGACTATGATTCAATCTGGAAATAGAGCGAAATAACCGAGAAAAATTATTCCTCAGATGCATACTGTAATTCATAGCAAAACATCTTGCATTAATTCGATCTCACACAGATTCATTAAAAGTAGTTATTACTCCACCACGTGCGTGACATCAACCAACGTGGTTGAACGACCAATTTGCGACACTACGGTGTCATGACGAGCTAGATGATTTCTTCAGCGATGCATCGCACTATAGCAGCGAGTTACGGCGCTGTACGGGAAACACACCTAGTACCTCCAGATTACATTCACACTATATAGAACTTACTTTTTTTAGCGGCTGGGAAGTAATTTCTTACTCAAAATAAGTACCTACTTCAAGAGAGTGTGTGATTTCAGACTCATTGACAAAGACTGTACTTCCTTCGTAACAGATGACAGTTTTACTCGGGTGTTATTGAGTCAGCTCTGAGCACTTCTATCCCAGTCTGGTTTGGGTCAGCTAGACAATCAGACACTACAGATGATCTCTGTGCACTAGAACATCTAGGCATAAAAACAGTTCTCTTTAATCATGTCGTGTTCGAGATCCAGCTGACCTCTGCAGAAGCGCGCGGCCGATGCCAGGCTAGGCCCCGCCCCCTTACCTGAGAGCATATAAGGCCTGCTGTTCTCCAGTTGACAATCGCTTCTCGCGACCTCTAGACTTCTTTCTCACGGCTCGTGGATTTGTTCGGACGTTCACATTTGTCTGCAGGAGGACATCACTCATCAGATCAGCCTCCGCTGGACGTGATTGCCTCAAACACGCGGAGGAGGCACTGCAACTCCCAGAAAATGGTAGCCTCTGCCTGGCGCTTCCCAAGAAGGCATAAGGTGGCTGCCACTTGGTTGGATTAGTGTGGATTTCGAACAGTCGGACTTTGATGGGGGAACGGCGACGGGATCGCGCACCCGGGAGACTCACGGGCAGTTCAGCTTTGAGTTGGGCTGACCGCTCCGAGTCCGCTTTCCTTGAGGACTTCTTAGGCCGTGTGTCTACCAAAGCGTTTTTACACGCGCCTGGCGTATTTTTTCAATTGTTTTCAACGGGAGCGCCGCGTTTTTTAAACGCCATGAGCGTAACGAGGCGCTGAGTGGTTTTTTCACGCTGGACCGCCAAGCGCCCGGCGTTTTTTACTGGTCGTCGAGAGTTGAAGAATGTTCAACTTTGGATAAAGCGCAGCGCTCATCACTGTCACTTTTTACCCAGCCGTCCAATCACAGTGGAGGAGGGGCGGGACTAATACCACACCGACCAACTGTCACAACATTCTTTCTGTACAACGACATCCACCAGCAGAGCTAACCGAACAACATGGATGAAAAATACATTTTTAGTATGAAACAAATGATCTGCGAAATCAGTTACAAGTAAACTGTGCTGCGGATATTCTGTATCATAGCAACGAAACGTCTCAACGGAAAAAACGCTGCGCTGCCAAAACGCTCTCAAGCGCCCACAGCTAGGCGTCTTCAGCAGAACGACTAGCGTTTTCAGCTGGCTAAAAACGCTTTGGTGGACACACGGCCTTTGCGGTTGAACCGTCATTGACAAACGAGCCGCCCGGCTCCGGGGACGAGGACGACCCAGGCCTTCTCGAAGGCTCTGAGGATAAGGAGGCTATCCCGCCTCAATATTGAATGGCCAGCATTAAGTGCCATGGCCCAAATGGCACAGAGGGAGTCCCATATCTAAGCAAGCCTCTCACATGGACCTGTGGATGCTATAGCTTTGGCATATGAATCCAAGGGAGTGAAGCCGCTGGGAAACATCAGATCCTTCCCTGATTAGCCGCCGCCTGTTGGGCTGTGTTTAGGGGAGTGCCACTGCAGGACCTCTGCTGCCAGCTGGGCTTCTCCTTATACCTGTGTGCGTTACTACCGGCTGGACGTCACCAAAACCTCGTAGCACATTGTTTTGGGGGTGGGGTCATCTTAGCCCTTCCTTGTGACCCCCCTTTTTCTTTTCCAATTACCCATTGGAGGTAAAAGAACAGGGGTTGAATGGGCCAGCAGGACATGCACATTCATGTTCATATATATATATATATATATACACTCACCTAAAGGATTATTAGGAACACCACACTAATACTGTGTTTGACCCCCTTTCGCCTTCGGAACTGCCTTAATTCTACGTGGCATTGATTCAACAAGGTGCTGAAAGCATTCTTTAGAAATGTTGGCCCATATTGATAGGATAGCATCTTGCAGTTGATGGAGATTTGTGGGATGCACATCCAGGGCATGAAGCTCCCGTTCCACCACATCCCAAAGATGCTCTATTGTGTTGAGATCTGGTGACTGTGGGGGCCATTTTAGTACAGTGAACTCATTGTCCTGTTCAAGAAACCAATTTGAAATGATTCGAGCTTTGTGACATGGTGCATTATCCTGCTGGAAGTAGCCATCAGAGGATGGGTACATGGTGGCCATAAAGGGATGGACATGGTCAGAAACAATGCTCAGGTAGGCCGTGGCATTTAAACGATGCCCAATTGGCACTAAGGGGCCTAAAGTGTGCCAAGAAAACATCCCCCACACCATTACACCACCACCACCAGCCTGCACAGTGGTAACAAGGCATGACGGATCCATGTTCTCATTCTGTTTACGCCAAATTCTGACTCTACCATCTGAATGTCTCAACAGAAATCGAGACTCATCAGACCAGGCAACATTTTTCCAGTCTTCAACTGTCCAATTTTGGTGAGCTCTGGCAAATTGTAGCCTCTTTTTCCTATTTGTAGTGGAGATGAGTGGTACCCGGTGGGGTCTTCTGCTGTTTTAGCCCATCCGCCTCAAGGTTGTGCGTGTTGTGGCTTCACAAATGCTTTGCTGCATACCTCGGTTGTAACGAGTGGTTATTTCAGTCAAAGTTGCTCTTCTATCAGCTTGAATCAGTCGGCCCATTCTCCTCTTACCTCTAGCATCAACAAGGCATTTTCGCCCACAGAACTGCCGCATACTGGATGTTTTTCCCTTTTCACACCATTCTTTGTAAACCCTAGAAATGGCTGTGCGTGAAAATCCCAGTAACTGAGCAGATTGTGAAATACTCAGACCGGCCCGTCTGGCACCAACAACCATGCCACGCTCAAAATCACCTTTCTTTCCCATTCTGACATTCAGTTTGGAGTTCAGGAGATTGTCTTGACCAGGACCACACCCCTAAATGCATTGAAGCAACTGCCATGTGATTGGTTGATTAGAAAATTGCATTAATGAGAAATTGAACAGGTGTCCCTAATAATCCTTTAGGTGAGTGTATATCATGCAAATCTGACTTTATTTCTCCAAATTGTGTTATAGTCAGAATTGCGAGATATAAACATGCAATTCTGAGAAAAAAAAGTCAGCATTTCGAGTTTATTTATCGCAATTGCGACTTTATATCATGCAATTGTGAGAAAAAAGTCAGAATTGCGAGTTATCAAGTCACGATTACCAAATCCTTTTGTGTTTGCGCACACTTCTGATTCTGGATGATTGAGTTATCTGTTACTCAAGTCAACCGTTTAGAGCGCTCTCATTTCTACATACATTCTCGATTCTTCAAAAAAACTAAAACAAAGAAACAGATGTACAAAACTCAAACCTTTTTTTTTATTAAAGTCTATCGCATGTATTATTTATATATATATATAAAAGATCTACAGTGACGGAACTGGCACATGATCAGACAACAGTTAGTCATTGATTCTTTCATTCATTCATTCATTCCCAATGAAAATACAAAGCACAAAGAGATTTACACAACAAACACCGACAGATTCACCATTTCCACGAGCCGAGGGTGTGCGGGGATTCATGGGAGGATCAGGGGCGTTTGGAAGAACAAATAAATACATTATTACCACATTTTACTTTTCTGCATCCTCTCCATAAATGTGTAGCATGCTCTTCATGTCAGACTCATTTACATGGATCCTCCACAGTTCAGGTGTGCTAAATTCACTGCAAAAATGATTTTCTTCCTCAAAATTTGTGTCTTGTTTTCTAGTACAAATATCTAAACATTCTTAAATCAAGACGCATTTACTTGAGAAGCAAAATTACATAAAATATTAAAGGAGAAGTTCACTTCAGAATTAAAATGTCCTGATAGTTTAGTCTCCTCCACGTCATCCAAGATGTTCATGTGTTTCTTTCTTCAGTGGAAAAGAAATGAAGGTTTTTGAGGAACACACTCCAGGATGTTTCTCCATATAGTGTCTTCAAGGGGGTCCAACGGGTCGAAGGTCCAGATGTGAGTTTCAGTGCAGCTTCAGAGTCTCGACACGAGCGTTTGTGGTTAAAAGTATCTAAATGTGTGTTTTGTTTTAAATGTCGGCTGGTTTGTCTAGATCAGACTCTTATTCCTCGGCTGGATCGTGTCGAGACTCTGAAGCTGCACTGAAACTCACATCTGGACCTTCGACCCGTTGGACCCCATTGAAGACACTATATGGAGAAATCCTGGAGTGTGTTCCTCAAAAACCTTCATTTCTTTCCCACTGAAGAAAGAAACACATGAACATCTTGGATGGCGTGGAGGAGAGGAAACTATCAGGACATTTTAATTCTGAAGTGAACTCCTCCTTTAAGTCTTGTTTCCTGAAAAATGTGTCAAAATAAAGTAAAGTAATGAAATTTTTTTTTTGTATGTAATGTATTTTATATACAGGTGAAACTTGAAAAATGAGAATATCGTACAAAAGTTCATTTATTTCAGTAATTCAACTTAAAAGGTGAAACTAATATATTATATAGACTCATTCCATGCAAAGTGAGATATTTCAAGCCTTTATTTGTTATAATTGTGATGATTATGGCTTACAGCTTATGAAAACCCCAAATTCAAAATTAGAAAATTGTGAAAAGGTTTTCATAAGCTGTAAGCCATAATCATCACAATTATAACAAATAAAGGCTTGGCATATCTCACTTTGCATGTAATGAGTCTATATAATATATTAGTTTCACCTTTTAAGTTGAATTACTGAACTTTTGCACGATATTCAAATTTTTCGAGTTTCACCTGTATATATATATAAATATATATATATATATATAGTTTTCCCTTTGAATTAAGCTTATTTTTCTAACTCCACTGGCAGATATTTGTTCTTGTTTTAACCATAAACTCACTTGATTTCGACTTTTTATTTATTTAAACAACTTCTCCAGTAAATTTCTCTTCATTTCAGAATGTTTCGATATTCGTAGTGGAAAGCAAGACAGAACCACTGAGGACACACACATTTCTTTGCAGTGTTTGGGGGACGCGGTTTCAGGCATAGTTTTTCTGCCGTTCGCAGAGGTCTGAGGAGAAGTGTTCTGATCAAATCTTGAATACTGGCTGTAGTGTGAGGTAAATATGACTCGGAAACAGCCACATCTAACTTTAAAACACTCATCCTGATGACACGTGAAGCACTTTAGCACCAGAGTAGAGAATTAGAGTGTGTGTGTGTGTGTGTGTTCAGTCGCTGTCGCTGGTGTCGCTGCTCGGGTCGCCCTGGACTTTGTTCCGGTGTTGCATGGCCCGGTGATACGCCACCTGAACCGACTTCCTAATGTTCGACTTCCTGCCTTCCAGCATCTTCTCTTTGTCCAGATCCTGATTGACGCCCAGAGGAACCAGTTTGGAGCGCGGCAGCCATTGCCTAAACACACACACACACACACACACACAAACACACACACTCATTTAGTGACTTGCATCACACATTGTCTTTTGTCCTATACAGCATTTTCATGTTTGTTTCCTCTGGCCTATTTCTGTGTTTGCCCGAGCGGATGTTCAGAGATGCTGACGGGCTTCAAGTCTCTCACGAGAAGGTCGACACACACACACACACACACTCACACACTCACACACACTCACATCATTATCCAGCCTCAGAACAGTGACCAATCATTACAAACAGCATTACAGTAACGAGAAGGAGATGGAAGGGTCGATTCGGGATTTTGTAAATATTCAGAAAAAGCGGTAATGAAAGCCAGAATATGAAGTGCGTGAGTGTTTATTGAGTGAGTAATCCACTATTTAGTTTATAATCTTCACCATAGATTTGGAGTCAAATTAGAGAGGGGTAAACATGACTTTAGAAAGATGGACGCATCATTATTTTATTTTTACACAGAGATTGGTGGGTCTATTAGTGAAATCTGTTGACTTTATCAATATTTGTTGCATTATAAGCCATCAGTGACCGTTCAAAGATAGGAAAAAGCTCTTTTGTTATTGCCTGTAAATGACATCACACCTTGCCTTAGAAAAGATGACCTACTTTTTGAAAAACAAAATTCATACCTTCTGTTTTATAAGTTTGGTTCCAAAACGCAATAGATCCATTTAGATTAATTTGAGTAAAAATGTGTTTTCTTTACCAAGAAAGTGGAAAGATGATAACCACTATTTTCTGTTTCAAACTTTCACACAGCATTTGTCGGTCATAATAACAAAAAAAATTAAAATCCAGGTTTTGATTTTCAAAGATTTATTATAAAAAAGGATTATTTTTCCCCCCAAAATGCAATAAATCCATTGAATCAATATAAAAGTTTTTTTTTCATATTGAAACTGTTGAAAATACACAACAACGTAAGTTTATTAGTATAATATTTTTATTAAGAACTGTAAAGAAGATTGAAAACATTTGTCCTCATTCCTCGAGTGCCTCGTCTTCTTAATCTCCTCAAGTAAATGATTCGATTTCGGTGCCTTTCGTTTCTCACCCACGGCAGAAACAACCTCAGGTTCATCAATGCCGTCAAAATTATTCATTTTTTTGTTTGTTTGTTGATCTAAAAGTACAAAATAGATCAGAAAAACTAGGAAGTGTATTTAAGGCGCTGCCGTTACGGTTTACATTGCGTGGAATGGTGCGTTGTGATTGGTTGAGAGTGGAATGGTGCGTTGTGATTGGTTGAGAGTGGAATGGTGCGTTGTGATTGGTTGAGAGTGGAATGGTGCGTTGTGATTGGTTGAGAGTGGAATGGTGCGTTGTGATTGGTTGAGAGCGGATATATCGCATTCTGCAGAGAAGGGAGACTGGCGTTTGTCGTGGTTTGGAAAGAAAGGGGGAAAACATGACAGAATAACACGGCGGATATCACATTTTACTTAAAATTAAACATTGACTTTTCAATACCAACCAGATACAACACTGATTTTTGCAGTAACTAATTTTTTTATTTAAAAAATGGCGTTTATCGCGTTTTGGAACCAAACTCTTCATATATATATATATATATATATATATATATATATATATATATATATATATATATATTAACATTTAATTTTAATTTATTTTAATGCCTTTTAAACTTGTGTGACAATTTTTGACAAATCAAATTGTTGTAAAAAAAAAAAAATCCTTTTAGATTCTGGTTCTTATCAAACTTTTCTTTAGGCATATTAATCTTTAAGGCCCAACATGGTTCATTTCCAGAGATATCAGGGTCTCCATGAGTAAATCGTACACATTTTCAGGGGTCAAAAACCAAATGTGGATCACTTGCACACAGCGGATCCTTGAAGAATATCTGAAGAAGAAAATAAAGTTCTCATTTTTCCCCCCATCAACACAATTGCGTAGAACATTGCTTTCTGAGTGCCAAATATAGTGTATTTCCAAAGTTTGCAAACCTGTAACTCTTACTCAAGAAGTATTAAGTATTATTCTCAATATCCTTCTAGACTCTGGCTCTCATCTACCAATGAAAGGTGATTGTTCACAGAAATATTTTTTGTCACGCTGGTTGAAAGTGTCCTCATTTCCGGATAGCAATCACTATGTTAACCCTCTTATTGTCTCCGGGGTCTTTTTGACCCGCAAATGACTTTTGGGCAATTTTAAAAAAAATGTCTCTTTGTCCAAATGGTATGAAACTTTCTACGACTCTTAACACTGTCTAGATCTACAAAAAAAAAAAAAAAATTTTGGAATGATATCTGTTTTTATGTTAGCGTGACAAAAATGCCAACACTCTTTATCTTCGGGGTCCCTGGAGACCCCGCATAGTAAATATACAAAATTCATCATCAAAATCAGAAACAACGCAGATCACATAGACAGAAATAAAGTGGCACACTTCCAACAATGCAAAAAAAATATATCCACAATGCACACACACACACACACACACACACGATTCGATTCCGATTTCCCCCCATTCACTGTTTTTTAACTAAATGTTATTTTTTTACTGCTTTATTTGCTCATTTGTTATTGCTGTTCATTGTATTTTTACTCAATATGTAATATAACTATTCGTTTCTGTTTATTTTTTGTTCTGTTACAGAATTAAAATTGTAGAATTATATTAAAAACAGATGATTGAAATAAATGATCAAATCTAAAGAACATTTGGAGTCTTGTTCAGGTTTGATTCTAAGCATAATATAACATTATTGAAAAACTTTTGTCAGTACAAAAAATGCTAAACTTTGACAAAGTTTTTTTTTTATGTTATAATTGTGATTTTATAATATTTAGATATGAATCCAACTGGAAAAACTTGTGAAAAGATATAAAGTTTGGTTAATCACATAGCAAATAGCATATAGTGGAGCTCTATAGCCATCTAGTGGTTAAAGTGAAATTCTTTTATTTTAAAACTGCATTTTCCACAAAAAAAAAATGGGCAAAAATCTTACATTAAATCATTTAAAATGATCCATGTTATCCCCATATATGAAAGTTAGAAATCTGGGTCTTTTATAAAGTAAATTTGACATAAAAATGCTGTTTTTTGAAAAAAAACGGTGTAAATAAATATTTATTTATTTATAGAAATTTAAAAGATATCAAAAATCCTCCCAAAACTGCACAAATGTTGAGTAAAAACATTAATAAACCGAGTAAAATTACATTTGTAAAAAAAAAAAATATTATACCGTTACAAAATTAAATGTTATTGTCTGGGGTCCCTGGAGACCCCAAAGATAATGAGTGTAGACACAAATGAAGATAATAGAAGGGTTAAACGGTCTAAATGTATTTTTATAAATATATATCGCCTGTGCAAGGAGTAGGACCATAAAATGTCCGTTCACTTTAAATTTTCAGTGTATTTTTGGCAAGATACATACTTAGTTTTCACATTATTTGTTCTTCAGACATTCCTCTTTAAACTCCACGTATCAGCTGTTCGAGAAGTTACACATATTTGGTCAAATTCAACAATTTGCACATACAGCCATTTTGAGATTCTCATATGTCTGGGAATAAAAAAAACATACAGGGCCCTAAAAATGAACATAACTAGGAAAGTTTATTAAGAAAGAGAATCGAGAAGGATATTGAGATAACACTTCTGGAGTTACAGTCACACAAACTTTAGAAAAAGAATATTTATGGCACTCAGACAGGAATGTTCAATGCTATTTTTTAATAGAAAGGAAACAAGATACATTTGTATTTCAACATTATCTGTTGTTCAGATATTCCTCTTTGAAATAAAAAAGTATCAGCTGCAAAGTGACACACACGTTTGCTTTCGACCACTTAAAAAGTGTACAATTTACTCATGGAGCCACATTGGAATCCAAATATCTCTGTGATTGAAACATATTGGGCCTTAAAAATTAAGATACCAAAATAAATGTTTGATAAGAATCAGCATCTAAAAGGATGTTAAGATATCTTTAACACTTCTTGAGTTACAGGCATGCAAACTTCAGGCAAGTAGAGCTTTTTCCCCATTTTTGAACGGTCACTGATGGCTTATAATGCAACAAATATTGATAAAGTCAACAGATTTCACTAATAGACCCACCAATCTCTGTGTAAATATGAAATAATCCTGCTGTCATCTTTATAAAGTCATGTTTACACCTCTGTAATGCGGCTCTAAATCTCAGGTGAAAACATTTTGACCCTCATAAACAAAAGAGTGTGTTACTCAGTAAATACACATCTGTGACATTAAATAGTGATGAAAGCCGAGATATTTAATGTTAATAAATATTCATAAAATCAAAAATTTTGTTTGAAATTGCCCACAGAATGAGCCTAATTATAGCAAAATGTGCTTAGTTGTAAAATATAAGAGAATGAAGTAATACTACGTTTTCAAATGGCAAATGTAAGAATAAACTTTACAATAAAGTCCCACTAATTAATAAACTTTACAATGAGCAACAAATATATTTGTTAGCGTTATTTAATAATAATAAAAAACAGCGGTTTGTTCATTCATGTGAGCTCAGGTCCATTAAACAAAGTCCACTTTTGATTTGAATAATGTATTGGTAAATGTTGAAACATGGTTAGTTCATTAACTATTATGATAATAACTGGATCTTTACTGTAAAGTGTAACCAAACAAACATGTGACCCTGTAACTGACGTCAAAGACAAAGGAAACACGTTCACGACCCACGCGTCTAACCGTGGGAAATAACCAGCCGAGTTTCTACACAACTCTATGCGCTGGAAGATTCCTCACATCACCACATGACCACACGAGGGCCAATCACAGCTGCCGCGTCACAGGGCACAACACACTTCAGTCAAACTATCAAAAACACAGCTTCCGGGACTGAAGTAAACAACAACAACAACAACAACAACAAAATAATGCTAATGTGAGTCCCATTTAAAAGTGTGTGGTCGGTACGAATTTGTAATGTTTAATGACTTTCTCCTGCTCACATTAAAAACAGTAATATTGTGAAGTATTGTTAAAGATTAAATCAGATGTTTTGATATATTAAAGTGTAATTTATTCCTGTTTCCAGCATCATTACTCCAGTCTTCAGTGTCACATGACCCTTCAGAAATCACTCTAATATGAGGATCTGATGCTCAAGACACATTTATGATTATTATCAGAGTTGAACAGTTTCATTGTCATGGAAACTGTGATACATTTTTATTTCAGGATTTTTTGATGAATAGAAAGTTCAAAAGAACAACATTAATTTAAAATAGAATCGGTCGCTTTTGATCATTTTAATGCATTTCAATGCGATTAATAAACAAATTAACAATATCTTAAGAAGAAAGCAAATCTTTAGTCCCCAAACTTTTGAACGGCAGTGTAACTGAGACGCAGGGACATGTCAGACACACACACACACACACACACCTGTAGTCTCTGTCCTATCACAGCACAGAGAGCATGAGGAAGAAGAGGAGCGTGACTAACCAGGTCCTCTTGTTGTCGAAGAAGAGCACGAGGAAGAGGTGTTCGCGGGCCTCCTGGGTCATCTGCTCCCCCAGCTTCAGCACCTCCAGAGGCGGGACGGGGATCGGGACGCCCCGGTGGAACACACCCTCGCGGGGCATCTTCGGGTCGATGATCTGGGGGAAGACAACACACGGCTCAAAACGAGAGAAGGATGAGGAGTATCGCCCTCTGCTGGACACACACCGCCACTGCACCTTCAGTGAGGAGGTTACATGTGACCCTGATCACAGAACCAGTCACAGAACCAGTCACAGAACCAGTCCCAGAACCGGTCACAGAACCAGTCACAGAACCAGTCACAGCACCGGTCACAGCACCAGTCACAGAACCAGTCACAGCACCAGTCACAGCACCAGTCACAGCACCAGTCACAGAACCGGTCACAGAACCAGTCACAGAACCGGTCACAGAACCGGTCACAGCACCGGTCACAGAACCAGTCACAGAACCAGTCACAGCACCGGTCACAGCACCAGTCACAGAACCAGTCACAGCACCAGTCACAGCACCAGTCACAGCACCAGTCACAGAACCTGTCACAGAACCAGTCACAGAACCAGTCACAGAACCGGTCACAGAACCAGTCACAGAACCGGTCACAGCACCGGTCACAGAAACAGTCACAGAACCAGTCACAGAACCAGTCACAGCACCAGTCACAGAACCAGTCACAGCACCAGTCACAGAACCAGTCACAGAACCGGTCACAGCACCAGTCACAGAACCGGTCACAGCACCAGTCACAGAACCAGTCACAGCACCAGTCACAGAACCAGTCACAGAACCAGTCACAGCACCAGTCACAGAACCAGTCACAGAACCAGTCACAGCACCGGTCACAGAACCGGTCACAGAACCAGTCACAGCACCAGTCACAGAACCAGTCACAGAACCGGTCACAGCACCAGTCACAGAACCAGTCACAGAACCAGTCACAGCACCAGTCACAGCACCGGTCACAGCACCAGTCACAGAACCAGTCACAGAACCAGTCACAGAACCAGTCACAGAACCAGTCACAGCACCAGTCACAGAACCAGTCACAGAACCAGTCACAGCACCGGTCACAGCACCAGTCACAGCACCAGTCACAGAACCAGTCACAGCACCAGTCACAGCACCAGTCACAGAACCAGTCACAGAACCAGTCACAGCACCAGTCACAGCACCAGTCACAGAACCAGTCACAGAACCGGTCACAGAACCAGTCACAGCACCAGTCACAGAACCAGTCACAGCACCAGTCACAGAACCAGTCACAGAACCAGTCACAGCACCGGTCACAGAACCAGTCACAGCACCGGTCACAGCACCAGTCACAGCACCAGTCACAGAACCAGTCACAGCACCAGTCACAGCACCAGTCACAGAACCAGTCACAGAACCAGTCACAGCACCGGTCACAGCACCGGTCACAGCACCAGTCACAGCACCAGTCACAGAACCAGTCACAGCACCAGTCACAGCACCAGTCACAGAACCAGTCACAGAACCAGTCACAGCACCAGTCACAGCACCAGTCACAGAACCAGTCACAGAACCAGTCACAGCACCAGTCACAGAACCAGTCACAGAACCAGTCACAGAACCAGTCACAGAACCAGTCACAGCACCAGTCACAGCACCAGTCACAGAACCAGTCACAGCACCGGTCACAGAACCAGTCACAGAACCAGTCACAGAACCAGTCACAGCACCAGTCACAGCACCAGTCACAGAACCAGTCACAGCACCGGTCACAGCACCGGTCACAGCACCAGTCACAGCACCAGTCACAGAACCAGTCACAGCACCGGTCACAGCACCGGTCACAGCACCAGTCACAGCACCAGTCACAGAACCAGTCACAGCACCAGTCACAGCACCAGTCACAGCACCAGTCACAGCACCAGTCACAGCACCAGTCACAGCACCAGTCACAGCACCGGTCACAGCACCGGTCACAGCACCAGTCACAGCACCAGTCACAGAACCAGTCACAGAACCAGTCACAGCACCGGTCACAGCACCAGTCACAGCACCGGTCACAGCACCGGTCACAGCACCAGTCACAGCACCAGTCACAGCACCAGTCACAGCACCGGTCACAGCACCAGTCACAGCACCAGTCACAGCACCGGTCACAGCACCGGTCACAGCACCGGTCACAGCACCAGTCACAGCACCAGTCACAGCACCGGTCACAGAACCAGTCACAGCACCAGTCACAGCACCGGTCACAGCACCAGTCACAGCACCAGTCACAGAACCAGTCACAGCACCAGTCACAGCACCAGTCACAGAACCAGTCACAGCACCGGTCACAGAACCAGTCACAGCACCAGTCACAGAACCAGTCACAGCACCGGTCACAGAACCAGTCACAGCACCGGTCACAGAACCAGTCACAGCACCAGTCACAGAACCAGTCACAGCACCAGTCACAGCACCGGTCACAGAACCAGTCACAGCACCAGTCACAGAACCAGTCACAGCACCAGTCACAGCACCGGTCACAGAACCAGTCACAGAACCGGTCACAGAACCAGTCACAGCACCAGTCACAGAACCAGTCACAGCACCAGTCACAGAACCAGTCACAGCACCAGTCACAGCACCAGTCACAGCACCAGTCACAGCACCAGTCACAGAACCGGTCACAGAACCAGTCACAGCACCAGTCACAGAACCAGTCACAGCACCGGTCACAGAACCAGTCACAGCACCAGTCACAGCACCAGTCACAGCACCGGTCACAGAACCAGTCACAGCACCAGTCACAGAACCAGTCACAGAACCAGTCACAGCACCGGTCACAGAACCAGTCACAGCACCAGTCACAGAACCAGTCACAGCACCAGTCACAGCACCGGTCACAGAACCAGTCACAGAACCGGTCACAGAACCAGTCACAGCACCAGTCACAGAACCAGTCACAGCACCAGTCACAGAACCAGTCACAGCACCAGTCACAGCACCAGTCACAGCACCAGTCACAGAACCAGTCACAGAACCGGTCACAGAACCAGTCACAGCACCAGTCACAGAACCAGTCACAGCACCGGTCACAGAACCAGTCACAGCACCAGTCACAGCACCAGTCACAGCACCGGTCACAGAACCAGTCACAGCACCAGTCACAGAACCAGTCACAGCACCAGTCACAGAACCAGTCACAGCACCAGTCACAGCACCAGTCACAGAACCAGTCACAGCACCGGTCACAGAACCAGTCACAGCACCAGTCACAGAACCAGTCACAGCACCGGTCACAGCACCAGTCACAGCACCAGTCACAGCACCGGTCACAGAACCAGTCACAGCACCAGTCACAGCACCGGTCACAGCACCAGTCACAGCACCAGTCACAGAACCAGTCACAGCACCAGTCACAGCACCAGTCACAGAACCAGTCACAGCACCGGTCACAGAACCAGTCACAGCACCAGTCACAGAACCAGTCACAGCACCGGTCACAGCACCGGTCACAGAACCAGTCACAGAACCAGTCACAGAACCAGTCACAGAACCAGTCACAGCACCGGTCACAGCACCGGTCACAGCACCAGTCACAGCACCAGTCACAGCACCAGTCACAGAACCAGTCACAGAACCGGTCACAGAACCAGTCACAGCACCAGTCACAGAACCAGTCACAGCACCGGTCACAGAACCAGTCACAGCACCAGTCACAGCACCAGTCACAGCACCGGTCACAGAACCAGTCACAGCACCAGTCACAGAACCAGTCACAGCACCAGTCACAGAACCAGTCACAGCACCAGTCACAGCACCAGTCACAGAACCAGTCACAGCACCGGTCACAGAACCAGTCACAGCACCAGTCACAGAACCAGTCACAGCACCGGTCACAGCACCAGTCACAGCACCAGTCACAGCACCGGTCACAGAACCAGTCACAGCACCAGTCACAGCACCGGTCACAGCACCAGTCACAGCACCAGTCACAGAACCAGTCACAGCACCAGTCACAGCACCAGTCACAGAACCAGTCACAGCACCGGTCACAGAACCAGTCACAGCACCAGTCACAGAACCAGTCACAGCACCGGTCACAGCACCGGTCACAGAACCAGTCACAGCACCAGTCACAGAACCAGTCACAGCACCGGTCACAGCACCGGTCACAGCACCAGTCACAGCACCAGTCACAGCACCGGTCACAGAACCAGTCACAGCACCAGTCACAGCACCGGTCACAGCACCAGTCACAGCACCAGTCACAGAACCAGTCACAGCACCAGTCACAGCACCAGTCACAGAACCAGTCACAGCACCGGTCACAGAACCAGTCACAGCACCAGTCACAGAACCAGTCACAGCACCAGTCACAGAACCAGTCACAGCACCGGTCACAGCACCAGTCACAGCACCAGTCACAGAACCAGTCACAGCACCAGTCACAGCACCAGTCACAGCACCAGTCACAGAACCAGTCACAGAACCAGTCACAGCACCGGTCACAGCACCGGTCACAGCACCAGTCACAGCACCAGTCACAGAACCAGTCACAGCACCAGTCACAGCACCAGTCACAGAACCAGTCACAGAACCAGTCACAGCACCAGTCACAGCACCAGTCACAGCACCAGTCACAGAACCAGTCACAGCACCAGTCACAGAACCAGTCACAGAACCAGTCACAGAACCAGTCACAGAACCAGTCACAGAACCAGTCACAGCACCAGTCACAGCACCAGTCACAGAACCAGTCACAGCACCGGTCACAGAACCAGTCACAGAACCAGTCACAGAACCAGTCACAGCACCAGTCACAGCACCAGTCACAGAACCAGTCACAGCACCGGTCACAGCACCAGTCACAGCACCAGTCACAGCACCGGTCACAGCACCGGTCACAGCACCAGTCACAGCACCAGTCACAGCACCGGTCACAGAACCAGTCACAGCACCGGTCACAGCACCAGTCACAGCACCGGTCACAGCACCGGTCACAGCACCAGTCACAGCACCGGTCACAGAACCAGTCACAGCACCAGTCACAGCACCGGTCACAGCACCAGTCACAGCACCGGTCACAGCACCGGTCACAGCACCGGTCACAGCACCAGTCACAGCACCAGTCACAGCACCGGTCACAGAACCAGTCACA